CTCGAAAACCAAACCTGTCCCCAGGTCCAGAACTGGGAGGGATCTCAACTGGTGCTGTCCCCCACCCCAAGCCGGCCCGCTCTGGGCCCCAAGCGTACCTCCTGCAAACCGGTTTCTTTCTCCACCGCGTGCTTGGTCCCCGCGGGCAGCACGGTCCTACCTGCGACCCTGCTCCTGCCGCCCTACCAAGGGCCTCGGGTCGCGTCCCCCGGAAGTACGCACAGGGCCACAGCACCCGAGGGCAGCCGGAGCGCCCATGCCCAGGTCCCCGCGATGCGAGGCGCCTGCTCCTGGCACGGCCCAGGGTGCGAAGGCGCAGACCCTGCCTCGACGGCTGGGCCCCCTGCACTGTTGCCCGGCCTCCTGGTAGGGGCTCCGAGGGGCGGCAGGTCCTGCTTGCAGGCTTGCCCCGGACCCCCAGAGCGGTTTCCTTCTCTGTGAGCGCGGGAGGAGCCCGACGGACGGTGGACGACCCCGAGAAGGGCCAGGTGCCGTGTCCCCTGTCCCCGCGCGTGGTTCAGGCGGGGGCGGCCAACCTGGAGCTGGGGGTCGCCTCCCGCGGAGTCTGGCGCTGGTCCCTGCCGGCGCTGTTCGCGCTGGATTCTGCCGCTTGGACTGTCGAGCTGGCCTGGGCCTAGCTGGTTCTCTGGTCTTCTGGGTCCCAGAGGAGCCCCGCAGCGTCCCCCAGCCCTGGGTGCCCTGAATCTGCCCGATGCTGGTTCTCTGACAGGGGACCAGCCAGGAGGTTAGCTGGGTCAGCGAGATGTTGCAGCCCGGACAGCCTTTGGGATGGCGATGAGAGCGGTGCCGCTACACCAGCTTCCCTGGACCTTGGGGTTCGCCCCTCACCCCGGTACCCAAGTCCAGGACTGCGGGCTCCCGGCTAAGCAAGGGCGCCTAGAAAAGGCGGGGCCTTGTCAAGCAAGGGCAGCAACCGCTGGCGAGATTGGGCACAGTCCTGGTCCTAGAGTAGCATACCGGCTGCAACAGTGTACTCTGTGTGTGCTCGGGGTCCTCCTCTCCATTTCCAGCTTCAGGGTGGAGTGCCTAGTCCCACTACCAGCTGCGGGGCGCGGGGTCCTCCTCTCCATTCCCACTACCAGCTGCGGGACACGGGGTCCTCCTCTCCATTCCCAGCTGCGGGGCACGGGGTCCTCCTCTCCATTCCCAGCTGCGGGCGCGGGGTCCTCCTCTCCATTCCCAGCTGCGGGGCGCGGGGGTCTCGTCCCCATTCCCAGCTGCGGGGCGCGGGGGTCTCGTCCCCATTCCCAGCTGCGGGGCACGGGGTCCTACTCTTCATTCCCAGCTGCGGGGCGCGGGGTCCTACTCTTCATTCCCAGCTGCGGGGCGCGGGGGTCTCGTCCCCATTCCCAGCTGCGGGGCGCGGGGTCTTAGTACCAGTTGCAGGGCGCGGGGCTCTCTTCCTCAATCCTAGCTGCAGTGCCCAGACCCCTCTTCCCTGTTTCTAGCTGAAGGCACCTCCTCCACTCCCAGCTGCGTGCCGCGCGGCTTGAGGGAACGCTGACACCCACTGCTTTCGTCCCACCTTCCTCCGCTCCTGCACTCCCCGCAGCCTCAAACAGTCCCCAGGTTCAGCTGAGAAAGGCTGTGCAGAAAGGCAGCCATTATACACTGTCGGTGCAAGCAAAACTCAGCGAGTGTGTGTGTGTGTTTGTGTGTGTGTGAGAGACAGAGAGAGTGCAGCCATTATACACTGTCTGCAAACAAAACTCAGCGTGTGTGTGTGTGTGTGTGTGTGTGTGTGTGTGTGTGAGAGAGAGAGAGACAGAGTGCCGGGCCTGAGAAGCACAATGGGAAGCTTCCTATGGGAAGCTTAATGCCTTTTCATTAGTTAACAGAATCGTTTAATGCGTTTGCATTAATTATAAGCTTTCAGGCTGATTTTCGTTCTTACAAAAAATGTGCAGTCGCTTGTTCGTATTTTTATGATGATTAAGTATTTATATAGTCTTTTCACCAATTTTTACGATTACTTTAAAATACTTTTGTATGGTTTGCTCACCTGTTTTATTATACCGGGTTTATTTTTGCAATTATTAGTAAAAATCCAATAAAATATTATAATTTATTATTTTTATGGTTAGTGTATTATTATATTATTAATAGCAGTACAATATTACTTATTTTATTAAAATTTTCAGCCTTTTTTATCATATCTCATTCATTTTTATCATTATTAGTAAAAATCCAATAAGATATTCTTCTTATTTACCATTTTTATCACTCTTATTACATTACTAGTAGTAATATATTGGTGTTCTTTTCATATAATAGTATCTTTTCACATATTTTTATTGGATTTTTTAAACAATTGTTAGTAATAATCCAATAAAATATTCTTATTATTAGTTTTATTATTATTTTTATGATCTTTTCATTTATTTGTACTGTATTGCATTTGTTTTTGTCATTATTATAAAAATCCAAAAAAATTCTTATTAGCATTAGTACTATTTACTCTCTTTAATATTTTAAAATATTTTTATTATATTGTATTTATTTTTATACTTATTAATAACAAGCAAATGAAATACTACGATTATTACTATCCTTTTCATTATTTTTTACCTATTTCCCTTATTTCGGATTTATTTTTAAGATTATTAGTAACAATCCAATAAAAGATTTTTATTCTTGATTATTTTTATTTCCTTTTCACCTAATTTTTTATATCGCATTCATTTTTATCATTAGCAAAAATGCAATAATATAATTTCTATTATTTTATATTTTTATTATTAATGTTACTATTTATTGTTTGTATAATTTTTCACGTATTTCTATTATGTCGGATTAATTTTTACAATTATTAGCAACAATCAAATGAAATACTAAGATTATTAGTATTATTGTTTAATTTTTTATTATCTTTTCACCTATTTTTATTATATCACATTTATATTTATCATTATTAGTAACAATTATAGAAAATACCATCCGTAAAAACCAATATCCGTGAGACCAAAAAATAAAAATAAATAAAAATAAAATAATAAAAAAAATAAACTCCAATCCGGGGGTCGCCTCCGGGGACGTCACGCGAGCGACGCCGCAGCCATCTCTTCCGGGGTTCGTGTGGGCTACGACGTCACTGCGCGCGACGCCCGTTCCCGAGTGTGCGGCTGTGACGTCACCGAACCGAGCCGGGCGCCGACGTCGATCAATCAATCGATCGGATGCTTGATCGTTTCACTCAGAGTCAAGGGGAAAAGAGCGCGCCCGCCATCTTGTCTGTGGGCGACGTCGCCGCCCCGCCGCCATCTTGTGTGAGGGCAACCCGCGTCATTCGGTGGCCATCTTGTGTGTTGGCAACGACGTCGCTCTGGCACCATCTTATCTGTGGGCGGGTCAATAGTGCGGCCGCCATCTCGTCTGTGAGCAACCGGTTCTCACAACCGGCGTCTTGCCGGTGGGCCAAGTCACCGCGCCGCTGCCATCTAGTCTGTGGGCAACGTGGCCGCGCAGCAGCCATCTTGTTCTTGGTTGACTGATTCTCAGAGCTGCCATCTTTTGTTTGGGCAACGACGCCGCTCAGCCGCCATCTTGTGTCTTGGAGCGCACGTGGACGCCCCGTCCTCGCTTTTATACGTCGTGACGCGGAGGCCGAGCCCCCCGGCATGCGTGCGTGCGTGCGGCGGCGGGCGGTGGACGATGGCGGCGGCGGCGGGAGACGCGGATTCGCCCGAGGCCCGAGTCGCGGACACGGCGGCGGAGGAGGAGGAGGAAGACGCGGATAGCGACCTGGATGTTGACCCCGGCGGCGACCCAGATGGCGAACCCGCGGAGCTCTGCGAGCGCGGCCCGACCTCCCTGCCTTCCACGCGCGCGGCCGACCCCGCCCCACGCCAGCTGGGCCTGCCCACGGCAACAGGCCACGCCCCTCGTCTGCTGACCCCGCCCGTGACCGCAGGCCACGCCCCCCGCCTGTTATCCCCGCCCATGGCCATTACGGGCCCCACCTGTCGCTTGCTGGCCCCACCCCCGAAAACAGGCCACCCTCCAGAGCGTCAAAGGGACCACGCCCATCGCCTGCTGGCCCCGCCTCCAGCCTCAGGTCACGCCCCCCGCCTCCTAGCACCGCCCACGGCCACCAGCCACGCCCCCCGCCTGCTGGCTCCGCCTCTGCACGCCCGCCACGCCCCCACCAGCATGGACGCACCTGACCACATTCCTCTAGTCTGTGTGGCCTCTGTCGCAGAGCAAGCCCAGGCTGGACGGGTGAGCAATCGGGTATCGATCAGCTATCGGGTATTGATTGGTTATCGGTTATTGATCAGTTATCGGTGGTGGCCCGTTAACGGTCGGTTATCAGCACTAATCAGGTGTCGTGTATTGACCAGTTTTTGGATACTGATTGGCTATTGATTCGATCTTCATTGCTTATCAGTGACTGAACTGTACCAATTGCTTATCTTCACTGATTGTTTATTAATTTTTGGCTATGGATCAGTTGTGGGTTATTGATTGACTATTGATCAGTATTAGTTATCCATCAATTATTGGCTACCGATTAATTATTGCCTACTGATGGGATATTGGTCATTGATCAGTTATTGACTATTGATCAGTTACCGTTCACTTATCGGTTGTTGATTGGTGATTGATTGCCTATTGGTATTGGCTATTGATCAGTTATTGGTCACTGATCAGGTATTCATCGGTTATCCGTTATTGCGTGGTTATCAGATATTGGCAATTGATCAATGTTGGTCAACGACCACTTATTGGTAACCGATCAGTTATTGCCTATTGATTGGCTATTGGCTACTGATCATTTATCAGTTATCGATTGCCTGCCAATCCCTCTCTCTGTCCCGCAGCTCGAGCTGGAGAATGGCCTGGGGCAGCTGGGCCGGCGTCGGGCAGAGCTGGAGGCGCAACTGGCAAAGCTGACACAGACGAGCCATGACGTGGAGGTCAGATGGGGGACTCAGGGTCAGTGGGGTCGGAGGGCATGTGGTCAGTGGGGGTGGTCCGGATGGAACATTCTCTCTCCCCCGCAGGAGAGTGCCTCGCGCCAGGAGGCCAAGTTGGCAGAAGAATGCGAACTGCTCGTGAGCGTCATCCAGCAGCGCCGCCAGGCCATCAGCACCAAGATACAGGAGGGCAAGGTGCACTTCCTGTGGGGGAAAGGCACTTCCTGAGGGGGAGCAGGCACTTTCTGTATGGGAAGAGGTACTTGTTTAGGGGGAACAGGCACTTCCTGTGTGGGTGGATGTGTTTCCATTAGGGGTGTGGCGACTTCCCTTTGGGGCCCTGTCACTTCATCTGGAGTCCGGACACTTTCTGTGGTGCGAACGGCTGCTTCCTGTGTGCAGCGTGTCACACGCTGACTTCCTTGCTGCCTGTTTCCCATCCTGGACTTCCTGTCCTCACTTCCAGTCGCTCCTGATTTTCCATCTATAACTTCATTCCCTAGTTTCCGTGTGTGACTTCCTGTCCTCTCCCACTTCCTCTCCCTGATTTCCTGTCTCTGATGTTCTCTCCATCTCTCTGACTTCCTCTCCATCCCCACTTCCTGTCCATCAACCTGACTTCCTGTCCGTTTCCCTGACTTCCTATCTGCCCTGCTTCCTGTCCCCACCCCCAGGCCGTGCGCTTGCGGCGTCTGTCCCAGCTCGTCTCGCACCTCAAACAGAGCCTGGAGAGCTCAGCGTCCCTCGCAGCCCAGGCCGAGCGCACGCTGCGAGAGACCGACCCCGCCCTCTTCCTGCAGACAGCACGCGAGCTGGCCGAGCGGTGAGTGTGGGGTGACGTCACCATAGGGCTGGGGAGGAGGTGAAGTCACCAGGCGATTAGAGAGGGTGGGACGTGACCTAACAGGGCAGTCAGGGATGGTGAGAGGGGAAGTGGCATCACTGGTCTGTCACAGACTTGGGAGACAGGAAATGATCTCACTGGACAATATGCAAGGGAAGATGGGAACTTAACGTCAAGGGAGGGCATAAAGTGATGTAACCGGGCTATCAGGGAAGGGTTGGAAGTGACGTCACACTTTCTGTACCCTGCCCATAGTGTCTCCACAGCAACTGCATCATCCCCGGTGCTGCTGCCCACTGGCCCCGCCCCTGACGCCTTCGACACACTCGCCCTCGACTTCTCACGGGAGAAGGAGCTGCTGGCGGCACTGGACGTACTCACAGGTGGGTGAGCATCCGGGACCTTCTGGCCTCCTGCCTTTCCGGAACATTCTGCAAGTTTCTTCAATCAATCAATAATCATCAATAAATATCACAATTATAATTTAAAATATAAATAAATAAGTTAATATACAATATAAGTAATATAAGTTCTAATAGAAATATCTGAAGAATGATTTAAAGGTTAAGTGATATAAAACAATGTAATCATCAAATATCTAAATGATAATTTAAATATTAAATAGTAAAAAATGAAGAAATAATTAAATATCTAAACAAGGATTGGAATATTAATAAATACTATGAATAATTAAATAATGTAAACATTGAGTGATAAACAATATAAAAATGAATATAAATAATATAAAAATGAGCAAATTGAAATAATTAAGAATCAACAAATAAAATGAATTTGAAATAAATATCAAAATAATGACTTAAATATTAATAAAAATATAAAGAAATATCTAAAAAATCATTTTTTAAATGAACTTTTTAAATATATTTTGACAATCTTTGCATAGTTAATTAGGGTAAAAAGGTTCAAGGGCTACAGGAAAGTGGGTAAGACTATTATTATTTACATATTGTTTCTTTCATGTTTACAGGGGGGTATTAAGGGATAAGGCCCACCCAATTTCCCACCCTCCCCATGTCCGGGATGTAGGGTATGCTCTGAAGTTCTTCCTCAAGTGGTTTTGATATTTCAACAGTTATGAATTGCTGCCAATCTTGCCACTCCAAGCACTATGAGGTCCTTGAAGAATCCACTGATTGACATAGTCCATCATAGAGTCTCTGTTTGCCCCGTATTTCACTGCCAAAATATAGCTGAGATGGTTGGTTGACTTGTCATGTCTTCTCTCTTTTCTTGGTTAGGGATCTGAGTCCAGCATTTTGATTGGGGTGATCTCCAAAGAAACTTTGTCTGAGGTGTTCTCAAACCAGATTCTTGTATGTGCTAGCATAGCTGGTGGTTGCAATTGCTGGGTTGGTTCTGTTTTCACTTGCGATTCCACTGGAACCAATGGGTGTTGCAGTCCAGGCTGGTTCTGCCCAGCACATACTCGGCCTTCTCATAAACCAGTGTGGGCTGCAGCCTAGTTGGAGCGACCCACAATAATCCCCACCAGGCCCGTCCCCCTGCCCTGGTTTGCCAGTATGTGTAGCAGACTAGTCCAGTCTGTCCCACACCCCATTCCACCCCAGCCACTGTCCTAGTTTTATGCTCTCCCATGGAAGTGGTAACCCAAGAGGGAGGAGCCCACTATGTCCCTCCCAGGCCTCTCCCACTCCTGGATTATGCACTCTCCAGGTGGTTCTGTGGTTTCACTTGACAGATTTAGCCCCCAGTGCCAGCTTCTGCTAGCTGATGTGCGGCTAAGCCCAAACAACTCTTACCCACTCTAATTTTGTTTGCACCAGTAGGAATAATGAGCCCAGCCTGGCTTTTCCCTGATCTAGTCCACAGGAGGTGCACAGGTGTTGCAGCCCCGCCTAGTCTGGTCTGCCCCCATCCCAGCCCATGCTCTCCTGCGGGAGTAGCTGTCCAGCAAAGGAACCCTCCCTTATTCCCTTGCCAGCTCTGCCCCCTCCCTTCCTGGTTCTCTCGCGTGGTGGTTGGGTGCTGAGGTCACATATGGCACAGGCAACCTCACCTTGATATTCCGTATTGGGGCTGCTTTTGTTGTGACTGAATCTGCTCCCGACCCACACTGTTCTGGTGCTTGGGTTTGCCAGTGGATGACGTGGACAGATTCAGCCTGGTCTTCCCCTGACCCCTACCAATTGTATGCCAGTGGGTAACTTTCCATGGTCTGTTCTGGGCTGTTTCCTATCATTAAACAATCATTTCAAGGTGAAATAATAAGCTAAACAATTACTTTCTTATGCTTTTTAAGAGTTTTTTTATTTTATTTTGGTTATTTTTAGTCCTATTTCTGTGTTTATTAGTTTATTAACCTTCCAATTATCTTCCTCTGATTGATGTTCCCCTGAAAACAATCTGCCTGCTTAACTATCTTCTCATTAACGATTTTTAATATTTCATGATCTTCATATTCATTATAATCATTAATTATTATCTGCCGCCCTCTTCTTATTAAATTTTTCTTCTTAAGTTATTACCTCCTCTTATCAAATTTTCTTTGAAATTTTATTTTCTCATGAATCAATCTTTGCATTCAATTAAGTAATTGTCATGCAAATTATTAGAATAATTAATTTATTATCTTCTAGTGTTTAATTTCCTGGTATTCTATTTCCTATATTAAACATTTAATTAATTATTAATGTTATTTCTATTATCTCCCCATTAACTGACCTTTGTTCATTCTTATGAATTGATCTTGATGATGTATTAGCTGTTAATGATTGACGCTGATCGTCTTGATAATAATAAATTCCTGATCATCCTAAGGCTCATTGATAAAGTGATAATAATAATAAGTATTGTTATTATTAAGTCCTAATAATAGTAATAATAATAAAGTCCTGATCATCTTAATCATCAGTGACTAAGTTCTAATAATAATTAATAATTAATAATTAATGATTAGATGCTGTTCAGAATAATGACATGGACTGTTTCATCATAGTAATCAATTATTCATGCTAATAATGTTAAGATAATGTCATATTCATATAAATAATATTGTTAATAGTAAAAAATAATGTAATATAATACAGTATATAATATTAATAAAATATTAATAATCATTAATAAAGAATAATAAAGTCCTCATCCTAATAATAATGATTGAATGCCAGTAATATTAATGAAGAGATTCTGTCTTCATGACCGATTATTTGGTGCTAATAATGATAGTTATCATTGATAAGCAATTGTTAACTGTTGATAATACTAATATAATCTTGATAACTATCAATTATACTAAATATATGATAATTATTGATAATAAAATACTCAACAATGATAATATTCTGATTATGAGAAGCAATTATTAAATGCTGATAATAATGAATGATGAAATATTAAATTTTAACACTATTAATTAATTATAATTCATATGCATCAATTTCTATCGTTTTAATGGAAAAAGCATGTGAACAACTTGGACACGACGTGTCTTTCGTTTTTCTTGCACCGTTTATGCATAATTATGCAGATATGTTTGTGACGTCAGGCTAACCATCTGTCTTTCTCTGTGCCCCTTACCCCACACCGACCCGTGATGACGTCATGATGACCTCATGCCTGTCCTGACCCCACGATGACTCCGTGATGACGTCACGTCCACGCTGATCCCACAATGACCCTGTGGTGACCTCACGCCTGCGCTGACCCCACGATGACCCTGTGATGACGTAACTCCTGTTCTGACCCTGTACTGACCCTGTGATGACCCTGCGTCCACCCCAGTGCCTGCCCCACCCCGCCTTCGCCCTGAGCTCTGCACAGCATCCCACGATGCAGTGACGCTGCACTGGTCCTGCGACGACGCCGCCCATGTCGCATCCTATGAGCTGCGCTATGGCCTTGCAGAGCCAGGGGCTGGGGGTGAGACTGGACCCCCGAACCCCAACCCCGCCCTTGTTTGGCTGGCCTTCCCCCCCTTCACCCCCCCCCCCCGTCCTCTGGGCAGAACATTCCAGAACAAAAATCAGAAAAAAGAAAAAAAAATAACGTTCCAGAAGATTCTGCAACAAACAAAAAGAACATAGAAAAAACTCACGACCTTCTGGAACAATCCGTCACAAAGATCAGGAAAAAAAAAACCCATGATTTTCAGGAACAAAAAAAACATGAAGAAAACAAATTTAAAAACAGAAAAAAATCCTTCGCATTCCAGAATGTTCTGGCCTGGCTATGACCCTCCATGAGACTTCACCCCTCCATGGGGGACAGAACCTACCCAGACCCCACCCTGCCTGCAGGCCCCGCCCCCTCCCTTGACCCCGCCCACAGACCCGACCCTGCCCCTGCCCCTCTGTGACCCGTCCTTCCCCCTGACCCCCTCCTTCCCGCAGGCCCCGCCCCTGACGCCTGGCTGCTGGTCCCCGACGTCCGTCAGACCCACTTCACCGTTCACGGGCTGCAGGCCGGCAGCCGCTACGCCTTCCGCGTGCGTGCGCTCAACCCAGCCGGCGGGCGTGACGGAGAGACGGCCCGGCTACGCACACACAGTGAGAGGGGTCGGGGGTCTCAGGGTCACACAGGGGTTGACGGGTTCACCAGAGGGCTTGGAGTGTCTGGGGTCACAGTGACGTCCCAGGGTGAATTCAGGAGTCACGCTGACCTTTGGGGTCACGATGATGTCATGGGTGGGTTTGGCGCTCAGGGGTCACAGTGATGTCCTGGTTGGTAAATCCTGCGTCACAGTGGGGTTGGGGGTCAGTTGGTTATATCACCAACCACCCTGTTGACATCACTGTTGACCCTATTGGCCACCCGATGACATGGCATCATTGATGACATAACTAACATCCCAATAACATTACTAACAGCCCGATGTCGTCACTGACATCCCCAATGACGTCCCCGCCCAGGCCAGCCCTTCAAGCTCGACCCTGAGTCAGCGCACAAGAAGCTGCGCGTGTCACGTGACCAGCTGACAGTGGAGCCAGTGTCGTCGTTGTCTTGGCGAGGTCACAATCCCCAGTGGGCGGCACCCAGTGTGGCCGGAAACGTCGTCTTGGACAGCGGGCGGCACTACTGGGAGGTCCTGCTGAGCGCGGGTGCCTGGTGAGCCACTTCCTGTGGGGGAATGGGAACTGCCTATGGGGGAATGGGAACTTCCTGTGGGGGAATAGGAACTTCCAGGGAACCATCATTTGACTTCATGTGTCACTTTACACTAGGGGCATGCTCACTTCCTGCCCATCTCCCTTTGCCTCCCTGTGACTTCCTTTCTGAACAATTATGGTGTCCCTTCCTATGTGCTGACTTCCGGTCCATTCCATGTGACTTCCTGTGTCACTTCCTGTCTGTTGCACACAGTCCCGTCCTGCTACTGACTTCGTGTCCATTCCTGCGATTCCTCTGCCACTTCCTGTCCATTCCCTGCGACTTTCTGTGTCACTTCCTGACCGCTAGGGGCAGAGAACCTTCCTGTTGCTCACTTCCTGTCCACTCCCTGCAACTTCGTGTCTGTTCCCTGTGACTTCCTGTTGGCTTGTGTTTCTTCCTTCTCTGCACGCTGATTTCCTTCCTTCCCCATCTCTCTTCCTGCAGGTATGCGGTGGGACTGGCCTACACATCGGCACCTCCCCAGGAGTGGGCGGGGATTGGCGCTGCGTCCTGGGCCCTGCTGCAGCGGGCGGGTGCGTGGGTGGCACGGCACGCAGGGCGCGAGTGGGCACCAGAGGCCACCTCAGGGTTGCGGGCGTTGGGGTCACAGACGGGGTCACAGGGTTCACGGGCAGGTTCACGGGGGTCACGTACTGGGTTGCGGAGGCTCGGAGTCCTCCTGGACTTCGACGCTGGCGCCCTCGCCTTCTTTGACGGCCCGGCCCGACTCCACGTGTTCCGTGTCACTGCCTTCGCACAGCCCGTACGCCCGACCTTCGCCCTCGACGCCCGGCCGCTCAGCGTCCGCACAGGGCTCCCTGTGCCCGAGCACGCTGACCACGCCCCCTGAGGTCAGGACACGCCCCTTGACCCCACATGGCTCTTGATGTCTTCGGACACGTCGCCAACGGCAAGCCATGCCCCATGCCACGGTGAGGTCACAGGCCACACCCCCACAGCGACACCAGCAGCCTCAACTCTGCCCGTCTCCCCGGCCACGCCCTCCCAACCCCCCCTTCGACAGCAAGCACTGTGTATCCTGTCCCCTCTTTAGGGTAGGAAACACCCACTTCGCCTGCTTCCATCGGGCTTGTTAGCCACGCCCCTCATTAGCATATGCCCTATGTCTACACCTCTACTTCCATTTCCCCGCCCGCTTATTACCATAAGCCCCTCCTCTCGTGACCCACCGAGGGCATGTTGGTCATGCCCTGCAGTAGCATAAGCTCCATCACCTGGTCCTCTGATTTCATCCTCATTGCCCCCTCCTTAGCATAGGCCCCGCCCCAGTCTACCCCAGCCTGTCTCTTTAGAATCCAGGAGGCCCCACTCTTGCACAAAGGGTTTCCCAGCACCCCTGCAGCTCCGGGTTCTTTTCTTCCTAATATTTTATGGATTTTTGTAGTTTTTTCCGAGTTTTTTTACAAAAAGAAACTGAAAAGAAGCCTCGGTTTCCTCTCGCTCCATGGCGCCCCATGCACGTGAGCCTCATTAGCATACGCGTGGCGGGAAGTTATGCAAATGAGTGACACGTGACACAGCACCAGAGTCCAACGGCAGAAGGATTTATGTATGATTGCATTCACATCTTGTGCATATCAGCTTCTTCATATGTAGATGCAAATGAGGGAGCCTATCGCACAAGGGGAAAGGGAAAAGCAAAGTGCCTCATTTCCATCTCATTTACACACAAAAGGCCAGATCACTCCATGCAAATGAGGGCACCGCCTTAGCAGAAAAGTGGAGATTAAGCAAATGGTGCCATCAGCACAGTGTCAGGAGCATTAGCATACTATCTGCATAGCAACTACTCCATTAGCATCTCATTTCCATCCATCCTTTCCATCGTGCTGATCAACTCATTTGCATCTCATATGCATATGAAAGCCCCGGTCCCTCCGAGTTTCTTAACTTTCAACTCGGCTCATCTCCATACTCATGGATTCATTACCATGCTCCCCAAACAATCGCCATCGCCAGCACTCTATTTGCATCTGAAGAATCCATTAGCATCTCATCTGCATACCCTACGTCACATGGGCCTGTGAACAATGACATGTGCATGACATTCCTGATCAAGATGAGTCACTTCCTCTCATGGAAGTCACTTCCTATCTGTGTAGTCACATCTGGTCAAGAGAGACTTCCTCTCGAGGCACAGTGACTTCCTGTCTGCAAAGTCACATCCATTCAGGAAAGACATTCCTGAGAATTAGTCACTTCCTGTCTAGGGTTAGGGTTAGACACAGGTCTTCCAGTGCAAAACTACTCCACCTGGGTCACTAAATTCAGTGGTAGCTGAAAATGGCTTGGGTGCTGAACTTGTCTCTGGATGTGCAGTTCTTAGCGCCTGGACTGAGGATCTACATCGTTGTTTTGTGTGGGTGTTCAACATGCTTGATTTTATCTTTTAGGGCTCAATGGGCATTGGACCAGAAGTGACCAAACAGGGTTTCTAACATAGATGTAACTCAAGCTGATGAATCTCACAGCCCCGCCAACAGCCCCTACCGGGTCCCCTAGTATGGTGGCAGCGATAAAGGGTGTGCTGGTTGGCCCCATGCACTCTAGCGGTACTCCAGCCTGGTTACATTTGGGAGCCAGCGGATACCTACCCACCCCTGCAGCTGCCTGCCTGCTCACTTGCAAGCCTCCAGGCCCAGTCTCTGAGCAGCACACGAGCCAGCCTGCAGCTTGGGAACTTTGTCACACTGTGTCCTGGGCTCTCCACCCGCTTGCTTCCCCTTGCCTGCTCCAGAGCACTCTACAGCTACAGCAAGGCTGCCAGCAGGTGGAGTCAGACAGCCAGCACCAAGGAACAAAGGGACAGCACGCTGGATGAATGCAGCCAGGCAATGAATCCGAGAGGCAGGGAAATGTGTGTAATCTCCCTCCCCTTGTAGGGGATACCGGCTGCTCCCGTCAGCCAGGTCGCTTGCCTTGCCTTGCCTTTCATTTATAACCAAACTGTGTTGTGACTGTCCCTGGTGAAATGTGAACATTCTGTTTTGATGCATGTAACACCAGGTCACATGGATTGGGGAGAATAGTGTTGGAGTAGTGAGTGACCACGCATCTGCTGTGACAGGATAAATCTGACCTATCAGCACATTCTTGGGGGAAGGGAGGATATACTTGGTCACACACAGGTAAAAGGAAAGGCAGGCAGAAAATAAAAAGAAAACACTGACATTGAGAGAGAAAAGGTGGGGGAGAGAGAACGAGAATGAAAACTGAAAGGAAGGTAAAAGTAAGAGTCAATTAAAAAAAAAAACCCACAGGAAGACAAAAACTAGGAAAGGAGAAAGACAACATAAAGGGAAGCAATGAAAACATTAGGGAAAAAACAAAAAAATGGCCAGACAGACACAAGTGAAAGAGATGGGGGAAGAAAATAAATCCAGAATGAGACCGCGAGAGAAAAGCCTCTAGAGATTGAAAGAGAAGAAACAAGTAAAGAAGGACCTAGGAAAGGGGAGAGAATGTAAGGATGAAGAATGTCAAATAAAGGTGGGAGTCAGAAGTGAAATTCTATAAGACCTAGGGGAGTTGGAGAAGGAGAGGAGACAGTGAAAAGGAGAAAGCAAAATAAAGAGAGGAAAGCGGGAATCAGCAATCAAAACATGAAAAAAATAAAGAGAGAGACAGTTTCACAGCCCCGACCAGGTCGCCTAGCAAGGTGGCAGTGATAAAGGGTATGCTGGTCGATCCCATTCACTCTAGCAGTACTCCAGTCTGGTCAAATTCGGGAGCAAGCAGACATCTACCCACCCCTGCAGCTGCCTGCCTGCTCACTTGCAAGCCCCGCACTCAAACCTCCACCAAGCCATCACTCAGCAGGCTGGCTTCCAAGTAAATCAAACACACGCTTTAAGTGTTTGTTTTCTCTCACCTGGCTCGGCACAATTGCACTCACCTTTGCGGTGTAGCCACCAAATGTTGCCACCTGGTTCCCTAATTACTGCACCCCTTAGGAACGTTTACTGGATTTCGACAACCTGGTGTTGAATGCCTTTTTTGGCCTCACTGAAGGCAGCAAAATAAGATTTCCACCACCACCACCATCACCCCCCAAACAGTGTGGAACATTGAAGTGGGCAGAAAACTAGTTACATTTTCCTTCAATGTGAAAGCCAGGAATGTTCTTGCATGTGTTTTCTTATTTTTAACACTCATTTATTTATTCATTTGCAAGTCAATCATGGGAGATAGAGAGATTTGTGAGCAAGTTTGTTTGGAGCAGGGAAGGGAGGAGCGGATGTGTCAGAAGGAGATAGGAGGAAAGAAGAGAGGGGATAAGAGAGAGGAAGAGAGCAGGGCAAGGATGAGCAAAAGAGTGAGTTCTTTGAAGAGATTCTTCCACCCACAAGTTCCTTCCCTTTTCTCTTTGTCGCTGTGTCCTTCCAAGAAGCAGACATAGATGACAGAGGATGGGGAGAGCTAGAGAGCAAGCGAGGGAGCCAAAAAATGTTGAAACCGTGGTTCCACCACCGCCGTGACAACATTGCTGTTTTTCTTTGTTAAAGAAAAAAAGGAGAGAGAGAGAGAGAGAGAAAATCTTCCATCACTTCACCAGTCAGTTCCGGACTTCTTCCTCCAAATGCAGGCCTTGAGAACTCAGAACTTTGGTGAACAGATTATTCCAGAAACTATGGAATCCTGGTTCTCAGTGCCACACACCTCTGTTTAGGATGCAAGCAGGTTTTTCAACAGCTTTTGCCTCAGACCTGTGCATGTGTGTGTGTGTGTATGTGAAAACTAAGCATTTCTGACTTAATGTGCACAGAACCTCAACATCAACAACTAAACCAATGGGCCTCGGAGTCCCGTCCAAACTTGTTTATGTGGCACTTTAACGAGATATTGAGCCGAAGCTCAGAGACAGAGAAGTGAGGGAAAAAAAAATAATTAAATAATGTTTAAAAAATAGGTGGTGAAAATCACAAATGTAAATGCGAATGATCTGTATTCTGGGAGTGAGTAAGTGAGT